TGTTCGGGAGGTCATGGGTTCGATTCCTGTCGGGGACTCAGAATTTTTCTTTGTCCCACGCTCGTGTCATGTTGATTAATTCACCTTCACAAATCTCTTATTATTGCTACTTTATAATAACTGAAAGTTACAATATCCACACGAAAAGTGTAAGCTTGACAATTCTAATTATTAAACTGATAAATTAATATCCCCTCTGTGCTCTTATCACCGAGTGCGTTCACTGATCTAGTCTCGAGTCTGCTGGACATTCTGTTCTCAACCTTTTCAACCCACCTCCTCCCCTGTCTTATTGTCTCTCCGTCCTTTGTTTTAGGGCGGTTTTCAGTTAAGTGTGGAAAGTAATCAGGCATCACTTTGGTTTTTGTTTTGATTTTTACTACGGTTTGAGATTGGCTGAGTAGTCTCATTGGTGAGTAATTGGTTTGCTTTTGGTTTTACTACAATCAATTAAAAATCGCTCTATCATACTACTGTTTCGATTTTTTGGCGGTTCATTACCCTCGCCTTTGATGGAAATACCATTTGTCATTATTGTTAAAGTAGTTTTACAATGGATTTTTGCAGCTATTCGTCCTTCGCTCATAGCCAAAATTTCTCCAGACAAATGTTTGGATGTCTGCTCTTAACTATTTTGGTCAAACTGAGCTGCCGCTGACAACAACTGTCCACTTTTCGGTTGTATTACTATAATTATTAGAGCAGTTTTCATTTGAGTGACGTAAAACCAAAACCAAAAGTAGTCTTTCTAGCCTATCACAAGACACAGACAATCCAATGAACCTGTAGCTGACGCAAAGCGCGGGGAAAACGAGTGCGAACGAGTCCCGATTGGTTTTGGTTCTACTTCTGCCGGATTGGATGAAAAGTGGAGCGAGTTTCGTAAGGTAAATGAGTAGCGATTTTGATGTGAAACCAATAACCTTTCAGCACTCAAGTGAAAACCGCTCAAAAGGAATTTAGAGGGATAACACAAATAAAGGTTTCTTGACTGTTTTACACTGGTAGAATATATATAGACTGTCCGGTCTGTTAACCCCTGCTATCTCCTCGACTCTTCCCAACAAAACCAAACAACTGTCGACCACTAGCACGTCGTTAAACCTCTCAGATTGTACAGTTTATCAGCTGCCATCGGAAGATCACAAATTCTACAGCTCCTGCATTCCCACGATATTTCAATCTTCTCGTAAGTCCAGAGTCCGAACTTTTTCTATTGATCTCGAGCTGCACACCATCTTTAGTGTTCACAAGCCTGAGGTCGCTGCCGTCAGTGCATCTCTTAGTCTCTCATAGCGCAAAGATCCATGGACAGACCGAACTTGTCTTGTGTGTAGAACTTCGTGGCGTTCATGTCGCTGCGCAGGTGGCCGTTCACGTCATATTTGCCAAGATGACTGAAGACTTCGTTCCACATGTCGAGGCCCTCAATCCCTTGAGTGTAAACCTTTTTGGGACGCCGTTCACACTAACTTTCACGCTGGTGATATCACGTTTGAAGAACTTCTCCGAGTCTCTCGCGCCCGCGTTGTGTCATGTGGTCACTAAACAGTGGGAGAATCCCCTTATGGAGCAGCAGGGGACATTGATGCTTTCATTTATGATCGAGTCTGTGTCCTTCGTGACTGAGATCGTTTGTGATGACTGACGTAGTCGTACATGAACTGTTTGCCGTTGATATAGGTGCTCTCCGCTTCTCGGGCCAAACTGACGGAGTGGATCACTTCATGTTTGAGCTAATGTTTGTGAGTTCATAGGCCAGCTTTGTTGGGTCGGAACAGTACAGTACAGTACAGTACAGTACAATACAGTACCGTATATTCTATTCTATTCTATTCTATTCTATTCTATTCTATTCTATTCTATTCTATTCTATTCTATTCTGTTCTATTCTATTATTTATATTTAGGTTTTTTGTCTCCAGAGTTTGAGCGTATTTTACGTAAGTCTTCGCTCCGGATCCCCTCAAGAAGCATGTTTTCGCGCTCTTCCTTAGGCAGGAACAGATCCTCGTAAAGTTTGAACAGGTCAAAGACGTTGGTGTCTTGGAGGTTCTCCCCGACAAACTCCACTTTCAGTCTTGAGACAAGTGCTCGCGAGACATTGTTGACGAGAAAGTTGTTTTTTTTTTTCACCACTGACGTCGAGGTTGAAGCGCAGTGCCAAAGAACCTGGAGCGAGAACGACACCTTCTTCAAGCTTGGACACGGCAACTCTAAGAGACTGTTTGGTGCTTTCTTTTCGTCGGTCGGTCGGTCTGAGACTTTCACTCACAGAAGCCATTGACCTAACGTCATCGTGTTGAAACAAATAAAAAATGTTCAATATAAACGTGGACCTCCTTCCATGAGGGCAACGCCCACTTTTTTCACTTCCAGATTGGCACTGTTATTCACACCGAGTTTCATTTCAGGGACCGCCTATTTTTGCTGATTATTGCATTTCTCCCAGAGGTCTGGATTCCTTACTGCTAACCAAAAAGATCGCGGCTTCTGGGTACGAGTTTGGGTTACGTGTTTAGAAACAACCAGCGCGCTTGCTATATTTTAACGAGCATTACTTTTAAGTCGTAACTCTCGTCTAAGTTCCTAATGCAAAGGTCACACCTATAAAAATTATCGTCTACACCGACGAACCAAATTCTCAGATCCGACTGCGCGAGATTACATTGTAAGCAATCTTTTTCATGGTTTTGTGAATCACTTGCTTTTTGAGAAAATAACCCAAAGAAAATACGCACGCTGATTGGTTAAAATCGTGTTTCTATGGCTCGAAAACGACACAGAACTAACACGAGCTGTTGACGTAATGACGGCGCGAGCAAAGAGAATTTACATTTTGATAATCAAAGTAAGCACTTTGCTTTTCTCTTTTTCGTCGCGGTATTTCTAAAAGAAATGGAAAACATATTGTCCGTGTTTCTACCGAGTTAAAGAAACACTGGAGAAAGTTTAGGAGAACTCGAAAAAGCTGTGGAAACACTCGCTAGCTGACGAGGGCGCAGCCCGAGTCAACTATCACGCATAGAAATCGAGAGTGGATTATCTAATTGTTTTAGTATACATCTACTAGCCGCTCAAAACTTTATCTAAATCCTCTTCACAGACACTTCGAAAAAGCCAAGAAGTGGCTGTCATTTAGTTAACAAGCGCTCACTACTACGCTACTCACTATCTATCACAGAATAGATAGTGAGTAGCGAGCCAATCAGAGGACGGCATTTGAGATAGAACGCTAGTAGATTTATACTAATAAAAAGTTAGATTATGAGCTCGAGATTTCTATTGCGTGATAGCTGACGAGGGCGCAGCCCGAGTCAACTATTACGCATAGAAATCGAGAGTGCATAATCTAATTGTTTTAGTATGAATTTAGCAGTCGTTCAAAACTTTATCTAAATCCTCATCACAGACACTTCGAAAACGCCAAGAAGCGGTCGTCATTTTGTTAACAAGGGCACACTGCTACGCTACTCATTATCTATCACAGATTATATAATAACCCAAGTTATTCTCCCATTTTGATTGGTTCTCGCCTATGATCTATTAGAGAACAGACACACGATTGACACAAAGTTTTTCCCTCTGGGTTTTAAAATGACGGAAAGTTTTGAGAATTTAGATAATATTTTACGTGACTGGGCCAAAGATAAAGTACAAAAAAGTCTTGTCGAGGCATCGAACAGGCATGAGAAGCCGGAAGAAGAAAGATAAAGCCGTTTCTTTTTTAGAAAATGACTCGAGGATTCTCAGTCGGCAGTCGAGCGAGACTAAATCAAGCACAAAATTGTCTTGGTAAGCCAAAAACCATGGCTTTATCTCGAATTTAACAAACCTAATAAACAAAATGTTTATGACATTACTTTATTTAGCAGTTCAGTTCTGCTTTCGCTTTCATTCCACGAGTAGCGACGCTCGATTCAAGTTTGACAGTGGCATCATTTTCCTGGACCAATCACAATTCTTTGCTACGTATAGCAACCAATGAGATTGCTTCATTTTGTGTAGACGATAGATTACGTCAAATGGCTTTTTTCGTGTTCGCCAAAGTGAAATAAAAAAAGCTTTATCCGTAGTAGTTTGTTTCGTTATTATATAAAACAAATATATTCCATGTTGCAGTGCGTCTGTTCAGTAACAGATCACAGAAGACGTCAAAATGTGGTAAGAACATCAGTGACACACTCGGCTATCGCCTCGTGTGCCACTTTTTTGTTCTTACCACATTTTGACGTCATCTGTGATCTATTAAACAATTAGATTATGTGGTCGAGATTTCTGTCGTGAGTCAACTATCACGCATAGAAATCGACAGCTTTAATCTAATTGTTTTAGTATGAATCCACTTGTCGTTCAAAACTATATCTAAATCCTCTTCACAGACACTTCGAAAAGGCCAAGAAGCCCCCGTCATTTTGTTAACAAGTGCACACTGCTACGCTATTCACTTTCTATCACAGAATAGATAGTGAGAAGCGTAGCCAATCAGAGAACGGCATTCGTGATAGAACGCTAGTAGATTTATGCTAATACTGAACAGATGCACGGCAACATGGAATCTATTTGTTAAATAGATAGTGAGTAACGTGGCCAATTAGAAAACGGCAATCGTGATAGAACGCGTGTAGATTTATACTAAAACTCCATGTCTCAATTAAAATTACTAAAAATAGCTAGCACCTGCATGTCTCCCGCACCCACAGTCAGCTTGCTACTATTTCACGCAGCGATGAAGAAACTTGGGGACGGTCAAACGTCTTGGTTATTAAAAGTCACAGCAAGATAACATAGGATAAGGGACTGGTCAAAAAGTATTGGGGGGTGGGCCGGAGCAGAGACGGGGTGAGTCATCAGTTTTTGAGCCCTTGGTAAGGGGTGGGTCGTTCAATTTTCAGCTACCCATGGAGGTGGGTCATCCTGTTTTATAACAGGAACTGGCACACATTTGAAACAATCGACAACATAGGTTACTCCCTCCAGTTCCAAAGGACGAAAACTTTTCGAGCCGTGTTTGAAAAAGTACGCTTGGCTGGTGCACAATAGAGATGACAATTTCATGTAAAATCGGTACGAAAGCTAAGAAGGCTAACGGATTAAGCAAGGAGTCCCAAGGCAGAAATTTTCAAAACACTGTGCTCTGTTGACATGCTGGTCTTCAAGAACAGCAAATGGCCAACTTGTGTCTACATGCTATTTGTCTTCAAGGGTACGGGACACATGTTCATAGATCTGGGACTCGTAGTTAACTGGCTAACCCTCAGGACCAGGCGCTCCCCCGCCCCTGCCCAGGACCCACTACAGTTCTGGAGGCCTAGTGTGAAACGTTAAAGGTCAAGTTTTCTTAGAGTTTACAGACATGACTTAAAAGTTGCAACAGTAAAATGATATTACTTTTAGATGATTTTGTGTTATTATTATTATTTAGAAATAAATCTGAAACGTAAATAATACCACAATTTCATACACAAAATGTGATTTTGTAGGATTATGCAACCAAAAATGTCATGTTTTATAGCGGGGTGAGTCATGTTATTTTCAGCCCGCATTTAGGGGTGGGTCACTCAGTTTTGTGCCAAATGGGAGGGGTGGGTCAGGTGTTTTCTAACCACCACATTTTCAAATGCTTCTGCCCACCCCACCTCACCCCCATGTACTTTTTGACCAGTCCCTACGATTGTTTATTCGATACCAAAATCGTAAGGAGCAGTGACCCAATCTCCTCACAAATATTGAGGTTTTAAATGGGTATATTTATTACTCTCAAAAAGGTAAGCTAAGCTACGCTTAATCACTACAACAACTGACTTACAATCCAATTTGCGCGACAACTCAGTATTTCACAGATTCAAAATATCAAGTGTTAAAATCTATTTTGACAAGGATTCTGGATTAGTTTCTGGATCGACGTTGAAATGATAAATAGCAAAGGAACATTACAAAACACTTAGCATTTTCTATTCTTCTTCAGTTTTTTCTCAATAACCAGATTAGCGGCCATTAGACAGGCGAAAACTGTCAACACCATCTTGGGTTTAACCTCTACCAGGTCATCGGGCAACGCGTAGGTAGCAGCACCAATCTTTCGTGCAACACTCAAGGCGTATTTGGCATTTCTGTGTTTGTCCTGACAAACAAGACGAACGCAATTGGTATTTTATCGACTTGCCAGTGATCTATAGTAAAATATCTTAAGATAATTGGATTAATCTTACTAAACACTTGAAATCCTTTAGATTTAACGGAATCTATTTGTAGGCTATTTGTAAAAGAAAGGAAAGAAACTTGTTCATCTTGACAATTCCACGGGGTTTTACAACTCATCATTACTAGTCAATTAGACTTTCAAAACGTCTGTTCAAATATTTTCTCATCGCACGTATATAGGTCAAAACATAAAAAGTTGAAAAAGATTGTGAACATTATGGTAGAAATAAAGGCAAACCCTCTGGACGCGTAACCCATTATAATCTCCACTCTGTGGCATTTCCAGTATTTTTGGAATGACGTTTTTCAATTTGGTTGCAATCCTTAAATTTCAACATTTCGGGGGGGGCATACCTTATTGATTCTACAACCGTATGGTACAAGCACACCCCCCCTCCCTTCCCCACCCCTTGAAAAATCCTGGATTTCCCCTGGTATTGTTGTAAGTTCCTGATGCTTTACAAAATACTTGTAACATTCACATTTGTGGATCAGGATAACCAGCCAGATGGAAACTTATTACTTATCATGATGTCAGGTGGTTCTGACTTTTGAGTCTATGGATAAAACCCTAGTGTGTGACCATTCAAATGAAAGCTTTTGAGCATAGCTTTCATATGATACTGTTTGTTATGCTGTTCTTCTACATTTTAAGTCTGTGGATAAAACCCTGGCTTGTGACGTTGAACTGAAAGCTGTTTTTGAGAAATTTAATCTGGTGATGTTTGTCTTTCAACAGAAATGAGAAAAACCCCGTTCAACTTTTAAAATTGTAATCTGCTGCAAAACAAGACTTGAGACACAGGCGCAATCTTTTGCTCTTTCCATTTATGTTGTCTTCAATAATTTCTTTTTTTCGAAAAGAAGGAAGGGATTTAATTGAAACGCTTTTTTCTTATTCTTTTTTCTTCAAAAAATGGCTTTCAAGACACGCACCAGCTTGTTGACCCTTGTTCTGTGTGTTTCAGCCACTCGGAGGTGGATTGTGGTTTCCATTGTGCATGTATGAAAGAGTTAACAGTTCCTCCTCAGTTCAGTTGTTTAAAGAAGCTCAGTCACGGTATTTTGAGCTATTTTGGCCAGGAACAAAATTACCTTTAAATTATAGAAAACCTGAAAATAATAGTGTATTAAAATAGAAAAACACCAACGACATAACGATAAGCCAAAACGGAACAAGGATGGTTAAGGATGGAGAAGATTGACAGCGATTACAAACGACGAACTTGAAAAATTTGGGCTAAGTTTCTCTAGACGCGCAAACCGTGACGTAGCTTCGTTAAGTATCATTACTTACCTCTTCACTAGAGCCCTTGGCCACCATATCGTACTTCACGGTGCCGGGTTTGATAGCATCAACTAAATCCAGAACAGGCAGGCTGCTACTGATGCTAAGATCCTGGAAGTTTGTGATCCTGCTTGATTTGCCTGCCTCTTGCAACTACAAAACAATCACACAGAGTCCAGTATTGGAAATGCCACGACGCGAGGTTTAACGTTTTCTACTTCTAGCAGAGAAACTAGCTTAGAGATTCAACATTTACAGCCATGTTGCAAATTTATAATTGCTAAAATGCACGCGCTCATTTGTATAACACGCGTACACAAGATTTCTAATATAGAGTAGTGTGGCCAACATAATCAATGCAACATACGTGCGGTGCATGATGGAAAGGTTGGATGTAACACCGTCGAATATGCAACGCTTTCCTTTATTCTGATTGATTGTATTTTCTATGGCATGGTAGAAAGTAGTATATACAGAGGATATTACATACCCGCTCGTGGATACGGATTTTATCTTCGAGTGTTCAACTCGATATCTCACTCGTTCGCTGCGCTCACTCGTGAGATATTGAGTTGAACATAGTAACGACGACGTTTTTGACGATTTTCCGAAGATTTCCGACCACTTTCCGAAGATTTCCGAAGATTTTCCAAAATCGTTGCGAAGGCCAGACGAACGCTTCCGAACATTTTCCGAAGATTGCCGAAGACGACCGAAGAAGATCCGAAGATGTTTCGATCATACATCAACAAATTTAAGTGTAGTTAAAGGGACAAAAGAAAAATGTTATCAAAAAGGAATATTTTCACAGTGTGAAAGATAAAAATAGTATCTTCACTGCGCGCGATGAAGATATGATTTTTTAATAAAAGGAGAAATCCTGGTATTTCACTGGTGTTTATATAATAAATTTTGATACATAAAAGTAGACAAAAACATTTCTTTTGTTCCGAATCGAAGTTGTTCTTATTTTCTGGTCTCGCCTTTATAAGTCTCATCTCCCCCTTTCTTTTCTTTCTGCCTTTGTCATTTGATTTCGCCTTTTTTTCGAGCCAGAGAAGTCTCGACCTAACCATCTAAGGAGATGGAAAACATGACAGGTATGCGAGAAATATTGGCCACCAATGGCTAATTCCCTCTATGAGACGTGCCTGCAGGGAATCGTGGTAGTTGTATTCATATTTTGATGAATACAACTACCATGATTCCTGCAGGCGTGTCTCATAGAGGGAGTTTACCATTGTTTTCTGCAAAGCGCTCTTGTGCGTAGTTACTTATAGAAGTAACGTTACTAGACTCTATATGGCGTCATCGTGACTCCAACCTGAGACAAACGTTGTTAGTTTTGCCTTTCCTTCAAGTTTTAAAGCTAAAAGGTAAGTTAAATCCTATACAAAGCAGAGAGAGGCCCAAGCCGCCAGAAATTCCTGAGGCTCGTTTCTCGAAAGCCCCGGAAACTTTTCGGGCCCTTAAAGCCATTTTTAGTTCATCTGTATCTAAAAACAGAGAAGCGTGTACCTCTGAAGCGTCTTGCAGGAAGAGAACCTCTGTTCATATTAATAATATGTGAATAAAACAGCTCTGTAATCATAAGGTTCGAGATTTTTCTACGGCTTTCCGGGTACGAAAACTTTTCGGGACCTTCGAGAAACGGTCCCCTGGTTTCCTTAAAATGAAGTGGTTAGGAGTATGGTTATTTTCCGTACACAGGATGTTAGTCAAATTTACATCAAACACATTTTAGTCCTTTTGTGCCGAGAATTTCCGAAAATCCAGTTATACAACGGCTACTACTTGGTGTATAAGACACAGTTGGCCTAAAACAATAAAAACAAAAGAACGACGAAAATACTAGAAACAATAGGTTTCTCGTTCTTTCGTCCTTTTGTTCTCTATCGTTTAGGCCAACTGTGTGAAAAAGAGGCACTTCAAGAGTTTAATGTCTTGTTTTAGAACATAACACAATGATGTCAGCCATTGTTAGAGGCCAAACCACTCGATCCAGCACGCTACCCATCAGCCACCTATCGCGCTGCCCCTTCCATGAAACTTTACCTCCAGTAACTTACCTTGTTATTAACCCAGTTGATAATGTCCTTGTCTTCAATCTTTGTGCCATCTGGAGTCAGCTTTGAGAGCAAGGCAAGAGTGTACGCCCTCATCTGTTGCCAAACAATAGCTGTCAAAGTAAAAACGCTTGCGTTGCAGTAGATGAAAGAGTTTTCTTTCCTCTCAAAAATGGTATCTAAAAAGTTAAGGTTTCGGACCTTCGGGCGTAACCTCCCAGAATAAGACCTTCTTGAGTACCCCCCCCGGGGAGAGAGGGGTTGTTTCCACTTACCTAGAGTCAGTGTTTCGTTGCCATTATAAATATCTTGCCCTCCAATCCCGACCAGTGAAAAGTTCATTTCTTTCCCTCTGCCAATCTCCAGTGCGCAGTTACAGTTCTCTAATTGTTCCATCTTCTCACGATTGTGTTTGTAAGGTGGTCTGTATACTTTCCTTTTCACAATCCCTGGCTCAATGATGTCAAACACCTATGAGAGAGATTTCAAATTAAAACCTTCTTGTAATTTAAGGTAATTTCTGTACATCAGAAAAAAAAATGACTTAAAATTTCGAAATGTAATTGCTTAAACGGGTCGCTTCAACAAAAACAACAACAACAACAACTATTTTATTTTGCTAGATTTACAAAAAAAATTAACAGCATAAAAAAAACAGTTAACTTAATTAGGCAAAAAATTACTCAGAATAGCATACAGGGAATTACTGGAAAAACCACTTAGTACTGCAGCTGATATTGCTTGTACAGCGGTAAGTTTGAAGAAAAAACATAATTTGGCGGGATGCGGAATAAACAGCACAACACTCAATCGAGAATAACTCTAGAAATATTAAAGCAGTTTTCTTCAAACTTGGCACCAGCAATGTACATCACAAAAGAAACAGAATGACAGCTAGTATGTTGTTGCCATGGCAACACTCTTGGCTCCAGTCTCTTTCTGTGAAAAACCAAATATTTCCATTTGCAACCTTCTAAAGTGGGACAGAGGGTCTTGCTTGGAACACACATGGTTCCTATATTGTCTTAACTCTCCCCATTAGATTGTTGGGGG